TCAGCGATTCTTTACAACTTGCTATATCTAAATATTTCTCTCAAACAGAAACGTGGGATGAATATGGAATTTATGAGTTCGCATAAAATAGGATATGAATGTTTTATCCGTATTAGATGAAGTATGTCAGTGGAATACTTCGGTCGACTATTCTGGTACCTCATTTTAGGATTTTCTAAAAATTATCATCTCTCATAGGAAGGAAGTAACCAATATAGTCCAAACCTGACACATCGCAATATTTATATCAAATTTATTTAGGTCCGAAATGGACATTATTGACCTGTTCCCTCGGAACCCACTCCATAAAGGGTCATCAATTTCAATGATCATAACAGAAGTCAAAATATATTTAAATAATCGAACATTTGCTGAGGGGGTATATCTGATGTAAATGTATTTTGATATGCAATTGACATACAAACTTATTTTCTTTGGTGACTAATAGTGAAATTTGATGGCGAATATTTTTGTCTTTGACGTCATCCTTCTAAAATAATACGTTATTAGAAAAATATGGCTTAAACCCTAAAATGAGTTTTTAATGTATATGAATTCCTGTCGTTTATGTATGATTTAGACTCTTGACGTCTTCTAGGACCTATAGTAGAATTTTATGACAAATCATATTTAAGACTATTTTGACAAGGTACGATTCCGTTTAAAGGGAGTTTTTAACTATATTAAATTTTTTCCCCGAATTTCTATCTGCAATATCTCCTTTATTTTTGCTACTTTTCGATGTAAATTTTCAAAAAGCCAATAGACGTGTCTTCTTTTTTAGCTCTACTTTCATTATCTGCTGGATTTTCCTGGTAATTATTTATTTTTTTTTTTTTTTGCACAGTGTAATAGACAGTAGACCATTTAAGGAACTGAAAACTTTCACATCTACCTTTTAAGAACAATTGTACTTAATTATTTTGAAATTCTAAAAGTTTTCTAATACCGGCAAATTTAACTGTCATAAAAGATCGTATATTTACAAAAAAAAAACAGTTAATGACAAATTGTTTTAATACGAATTGCTTTAAACTAGTTAAGAAGAAAGCAAATAGTTCGCCACACTACAACTCACGTGCCGTTTTATTAAAAAAAATATAACAACGTTCAAATAGACGGAACAACCTTTTAGAATTCTCTATCATAATCCCCTCATGACAACAACAATAGCTTCGAAATTGTGGATTTTATGGCCGATCATTTTATGTGACAATTTAGCAAACAATTATGGCACGAGCAGTGACACTTCGCACTCAAAAACGCAACCCAAAATAAATTGTCGGTGAAATTTAAGCGGAATGTTATCAATCGAATAGTAGATGTAATTACGTTTTTTTAAACTACAAACAATAATTGCTGCGATATTCTAATAGTTTGTTTACCTTTTGAATGACAACTATAATTAAACAATTGTTCCATACAAGGGGGTAAATCATAAAAAGAATTATCAAAGTAACCTAAGTTTACAATTTTTATTTTTACGTTTAATTGTCGAGGTTAAATTTTGGGACCTATTTTATAACGTGGTGGTAAATTTACCTCATCTAAAAAGGTAAAGTCATTCAATCATATATCCGAAAAATCCAAAATCCATTTATTGCTTTAGCATTTTCCTTTACAACCACCCTAATATTTTTACATTCCGATAACAGTATTTGCCAAAAATAATGGAATGGAATTATAAATTAAATGACAGCAATTTCACAAGGAAATCTTTATGAGCGCATTGTGATTTACGATCTATGAGAGTATCGTAATTTACGACTCCCCCTTTATTGCAGAAGATAAATATTGCATTATTTTGCTCTTTGATCTGGGATGGGTTACATATATCAATGAAAAACATTTATAAATGGTATTAAATTCCGGATATACCCAAATGGTTTTTAATATATTTTTGTACTATAAAACAATTTCGCAGGCACGGGTACAATGGTTAAAATATAATTGTCTTTCTCACAAAAGCCCGAATTTTTGTCGTTATCGATTTCTTATTTCTATGTGAAGTTCAATAGTAAACATATTAAAATTAAAGAAGAAAAAGATCAGCTAAGGAAGTAATTTGAAAAATTTTAAAAAATCCGTTAAAAAATTACCAGTAAGGGAAGGTTAAATGTCGAGCGGGGCAGACTATATGATACCCTACACCACTATGCGTATTTAGTAGAGCTACCGTAACAAATAAGTTTATATTGGGAATTTAAGTGAAGTAGATCATTCCAACTATGAACCAAATAACATGATATGACTTCGGTAAGGATTATATTAAATAATATTTATTGGAGCAATAAATACAACGGACCGACTTTCACCAAATGTTAAAATTCGGTTGAAAAAAATCTATTCAAGCTAGGCTGATATTACTGATATTAAGATGTATATCGAAGCTATATAAAAATCTGAACCGATCTCTATAAAATTTGGCAGAGGTATTTTCGAGCAGTATCTGATGCTCGGTATAAAATATCATTGTTGTGAAGTGTATATGGCGGATGTGAGGGACTTTAACGCCAAATCGAATCAAACATATGTATTGGAGCTATAGCTATATCTGAACCGATTTTTAACTAAAATTTGAAGCACTTGCTTTAAGGCCGAAATTCGTCGAAAGAGTCGATATTCGGTCCATTTGGGCTGATATTAGCCATTATTTGTACAATATACCGGAAATCGGATTAAGAACCCAATCTGTCCCGATCTTGATAAAATTTGGCAGAAATAATTACCGGGAAAATTCAGCAGATAATGAAAGTAGTGCTAAAAAAAATTTTAGAAAATTTACATCGAAAAGTAACGAAAATGAAGGGGACAAGTTCCCTTCTCTTCCAAACTTTAAAAAAAATCGGATTAAAATTCCCCGGCATCCGATCATTTTAGGTATACAGGGTGAGATAAAAAAAACTGCAACAAAGTCAAACGCCATAATTTTTACATTTTTTTCCAATTTTACTAAATAAAAGCAAAAAATGTCGGAAATAGCATCAAATTTTAGATTTGTTGTTTGGCACGAATTAATGCCTTCAAACGGCCAATAAAACCGTCACACGCTGCCCGAATGTTGCTGTGCGGTATTTTGGCTCATTTCCGGCGAAGCGCTTGCTTGAGGTGATCAACACTTTGGTATTTTGTAGTGCCAACCATGCTTTCCAAAATACTCCAGACACAATAGCCCAAGGGATTGGTATCCGGAGATTTTGGTGGCCATTGTGCGCTGAAAATGAAGCGAGGAACCTCATTTTGTAACCATTCTTGGGTTGCGCGTGCTGAGTGCGATGGTGCTGAGTTCTGTTGGAATGCCCAAGGTCTACGGCCAAAATGTTTGCGTGCCAAAGGTTTTAATACAACCTCCAGAATATTTTCGCGATATTATATGGTATTTATTCTGATTTATTGTGATGCCAAGGTCGATTAATACGAGGGGAGAGCGACCATCGGCTGTTATGGCGGCCCACACCATCACCATTGCCGGTGCTTGAGTTCTGGTGGCCAACCGAAGTTGCACATTTTCAGCTGACCTCTTTGGCAAGTAAACACGATCATTTTGTTTGTTTACAAACTGCTGGACAACGAATGTTTGCTTGTTTCGGAGAAAACCAAATTCGGCAATTCACCACTTTCGGCCAAGCGAAGCAACTCTTTTGAGCCTATTTTCTTTCTGTTGCGGTGTAAGTTTTTGCACTTTTTGGAATTTCAATGGCTTTACCCCGAGCTCATTATTTGCCGAATGGAATAATGTGATATATTCAGCTCACGAGCCATTTTTCGGCCACTGCGACGCAAGTCATGTGATCAAGTCCTTTCTTTAATTTACGAACCATTTCTGCTGATGTTGCTGTTTTCTTCCGTTCACTTCCTTGACGTCCGGCTACGCTACCTATCAGTATCAAGGTAACGAGCGATGGTACGAGACACAAAAGATTTATTCACATTTAAATGCTGGAGTGCTCTATCGATAGCCACTTGTGGTTTTCCAGCCAAATATAAAGAAATCACACTATCACGCTTGAATTCCATCCCGAATAACTACTTTTTTGGAAGATTCTAACCAAAATGCTTCTTGTAGCTTGTAAACAATATAATGAACTGTCACTGGAATAATTTTAACAGCTGTCGGACGAGTGGCTTAGAAATGACAGTGGCCGAAAGTTGGTAGCAGTTTTTTCATCTCATCATTATTCACCGGAATTATTTCAAATTTCGTATTTGAAGTTCGGAATCGGTACTACTGCCTATAATAAAATTTATGCAGGTCCACGTGTTCGTATAGCCCCCATATGAAAGTTTTCATTTAAGTGGTATTTTTCGACGGATGTTTTGAACATTTTCAAGATTTTTCAAAATGGTGGACTATATTAAAAGTTCGGCCAGGCCAGAACTTAACTGCTTTTTACTTGTTTTGATTTTGTGGATATTATTAAGAAAATTGGTTTTCGTAGTAGTATTTTTAAAATTCTTACAGGTTCTGCATCGGGGCAAGGATAATGTAGATTAGGTACCTCCGGAAATTTGGGTTTTGATGATATTAGCATCATTATTCAAATTTAGTATTTTAAGTTTGTAATGAGTACTGCAGCCTATAGCAAAAAATCGCGTATGCAGATCCACGTCTTCGTATATCCCCCGAATAACGATATTTACATTATTCGGTATTTTGATGATATTAGCGACATAATTCACCGGAATTGTTTCAAATTTCGCATTTGATGTTCGTAACGGGTACTACAGCCTATGAGAAAACATAACATATGCAGGCTCCCGTCTTCGTATAGCCCCCATATTACGATTTTTATTTAACCGGTATTTTTTGGAATTTTTGGAAAATGTACAAATTCCTTCCTGTGCTACTTTTTAAACATTTAAATATTAATAAATAAAATTTTTTTAATTTATTAAAAGAAAACATCTTCAAAATTTTGCTGCCAAAATAAAATCTCTAACTGCCGTCATAAATGTTAATTTAAATAACTAAATTTTATATTTCTCCAATCTCACTTCAGATCTCTTCAATAAAACAACGCATTCAAAATGGTAACACCCCATGAAAATCCCGCCTTTATAGGAGACGATGGTGTGAGTAGATCCCAGGAAATGCACAATCATTCGAATAGTGAGGTAAGTTGTGCAAAACCCTAAATATCTTTTCAAACTCACGTCAGAGCAAACTCTCCGTTACAGCCTCCGCCTAAAGATGCCAAACCCGCCAAAGAACGTGAACAGTGGGGTAAGGGTATTGAATTTCTTATGTCCTGCATAGCCATGTCTGTGGGTCTGGGTAATGTTTGGCGTTTTCCCTTTACCGCCCTAGACAATGGCGGTGGGGCTTTCCTGATACCCTATTTGGTGGTGTTATTTTTGATTGGTAAACCCATTTATTATTTGGAAATGATTATTGGACAATTTTCAAGTCGCGGCTCGGTAAAGGTGTTCGATTTGTGTCCAGCCATGAGAGGTAAGAGATATATATTCACAAAACTTTTCAAGTTCCCCATTTGTCTTTTGCCTTGAAAATCGTTTGATGTCATTTGTCTGATCTTCATTTTTCCATCATTTTTATTTTTATCACCCAAATCTCCAGGCATTGGTATTGGTCAGGTTGTCTCAATATCAATGGTCACCACATATTATGTTGCCATTATGGGCATGACAATGCGTTATCTGTTCGATTCATTTCGTTCGCCATTGCCTTGGTCACAGTGTGACGATTCATGGAATGCCGTCTGTGTAGCTTCGATTGAGAAAAATACCGCTGATTTTTTGTACAATTCTGCCGATAACATTTCCAATTCGCAAATCTTGAACTCTTCGGTTTTGATGAGTTTAAATAATGCCACAACATCGGCAGCATTGAAAAGTACTAAACCAACATCATCGGCGGAATTGTATTTTATGTAAGTCTTTGTCTATGATTTAAGTCCTTTGTTTGAAAAAAAATTTAGCTTTCTTTGTTTTATTTTTAATGCTTGTTGTAACTAACAAATTACTAACACTTAAATCTTAAGATCTCTTAACATATACTTTAATACTATTTGGTATGGATTTATATGTTTCTAAACGAATATTATCAAACCATAGATCATATATCATGACCCATTAACATAATACTGATAAAATTTACTGGAATCGGACCTTTTGAACATTTTTATAGAAAGGACTTAAGGACTAATTTATTTAGTAGTCAATCTTGACACGCTGCTCCTTCCATCCAAGCTTGAATCTTTTAATCTCCAATTTACATTTGGGCGCCAGTCGCAGAGGAATGTAGAAAAAAATCGATAAAAAATGTGAAGTAAGAAAAGTTCTAGATATAAGCGATTAAAAAAAACAGCTAAGTTGGGCCGGGCCGAACTTTTAGTAATCTCCACCATTTTTGAAGGAACTTGAAAAATTAACAAAAAAACTTAATTCAGGAAAAAAAATAACTCTTAAATGAAACCCCTTGTATGGGGGCTATGCGAAGACGTGGTCCTTCATAAGTAATTTTTTTTGTAAGCTGTAGCACCGATTCCGAACTTCAAATCCGAATTTTGAAACAATTCCGGTAAATTATGTCGCTTATATCATCAAAATACCGAATATCGTGAGGTACCGTCATATGGTGCTATACAAAGGCGGAGATCACGAACTTCAAACGCAAGATCTGGTGTGAAGATGGGATATATCGGTCTACAGATGGGTGTGATGAAAAAACTGCATCCAACATTAGACCGCTGTCTTTTCTAAGCCACTTGTCCGACAGCTTCAAAAATTATTCCAGTGACAGCTCATTATATTGTTAACAAGCGTACAAAAGCATTTTGGTGAGAATTTTCCAGAAAAAAAATTATTCGTGATGGAAATCAAGCGCGATAGTGTGATTTCTTTATATGTGGCTGGAAAACCACAAGTGACTATCGTTAGAGCACTCCAGCATTTAAATGTGAATAAATCGTTTGTGTCTCGTACCATTGCTCGTTACCGTGATACTGATAGGTAGCGTAGCCCGACGTCAAGGAAGTGGACGGAAGAAAACAGCAACATCAGCAGAAATGGTTCCAAAAAGTGAAGAAGCGACATGATCGAAACCCGCGTCACAGTATCCGAAAAATGGCTCGTGAGCTGAACATGTCGCAATATTTCCATTCGGCAAAATGAGCTCGGGGTGAATTAATTGAAATTAGAAGAAGTGCAAGAACTTACACCGCAACAGAAAGAAAATAGACTCAAAAGAGATAAAAATTTGCTTCGCTTGGCCGAAAGTGGTGAATTGCCGAATTTGGGTTTCTCCGAAACAAGCAAACATTCGTTGTCCAGCAGTTGGTAAACAAACAAAATGATCGTGTTTACTTGCCAAAGAGGTCAGCTGAAAATGTGCACCTTCGGTTGGCCACCAGAACTCAAGCACCGACCATGGTGATGGTGTGGGCCGCCATTACCATTACGTGAAGACGTGACATCAGAATAAATGCCGAATATTATCGCGAAAATATTCTGGAGGTTGTATTAAAGCCTTGGGCACGCAAACATTTTGGCCGCAGACCTTGGACATTCCAACAGGACTCAGCACCATCGCACTCAATACGCGCCATCCAAGAATGGTTACAAAATTAGGTTCCTCGAGCACAATGGCCACCAAATTCTCTGGATACCAATCCGTTGACTATTGTGTCTGGAGTATTTTGGAATGAAAGGTTGGCACTAAAAAATACCCAAGTGTCAATCACCTCAAGCAAGCACTTCGCCGGGAATGGGCCAAGATACCCCAGAGCAACATTCGGACAGCGTGTGACGGTTTCATTTGCCTTTTGGGGGCCATAATTCGTGCCAGGGGTGACCAATTCGAACAAATCTAAACTCATTCAAAAATTTGATGCTATTTCCGACATTTATTTCAATAAAATAAGAATAAATGGAATAAAATAAGTAAATACGGATCAACATAACAAAAATCAGGATTGAATATTTATTATTTTTGTAGACCATTCAAATTTTGTCCTTTATGCACTCCAATTTTTCCCATTCGTTGGTATAGAGCATCCAACTACCAACTCTTTGTTCCCATTCAGTTGCATGCGACGACTCCAGTTACACCAAACTGGTATTCGAAGTGATTGTAACGTTCACCGCCATTGTTGCTAACACGCAATCAATAAGCGTTCGACCAACTATTCTCATAATTTATAATTCTAACCATGGTGTAAGCGAATAGCATAATTACGGTTGTGGTTTTCGATTCGGTGTTTTAGTTAACCGACTTTAATTAGCTAAGACATTCACACTCGGTTACAACACATTTCAAGTTCAGACAATGAACTTTGTCGGTGGTTGTAACAGAAATCAAACAAACAATCAATCGGCCGACAAATCGAGCGAACGATTGAATCGATTGATCGATACATTTTACAATTCGTAATACCCACAAACATCTTTATTGTTTTTATCTGTTAGTCACACTTGCCCAATTAAAGAAATGTCAACGCAACTGCAAGGCGTTTTTTTTCTATGATCGGAAATGAAAGCGTTCGGGGTTTGTTGACAGTTTTTCGTTTTGTTTTGATTACATTGTGACATGCTTTCTTTCATCTCCAGACAGTTTTCTCAGCTGCAATGATTTATTTTTTTCTATAATTTCTCTGATGAAACAATGGAAACAACTAAATTGAATTGTTGTAAATTTGTTCAATTAGATCACTACTGAATGTTGAAAGTTCTGCCCGGTATTGAGTCAGAAAATATTGCTACCGTACATAGTTAGCACAAATGTCAATTGAGATAATAAATTATGGCAATACGTCAATAAACTTTCAGAATTAAATAGGTCTGGACCGATACAAGAGGCACATTTTCGACGATAATGTTTATAAAAAAAACCATTAGGTCAAAGGTGACGATTTCTTTGGGACAGTAATATAGGGTAGTACATATATCCAGCATCGGGTTTCAATTTGCTACTTCGCATTAAAAAACAATTGATACAGTCAGTATTGACATGCTGTACTCTCCGCCAAGATTTAAAACATTATGTTGTCAACTATACACTTGGGCGCCAGTCAAATGAGAAGTACAGAAAAGGCATCCAAGTACCGCTGAGTAAAACAAGAAAAGTAGCAATTCCCAGACAACATCTCCCTGTGAGCCGTCTGGTCGTGTTATGTGCCTCTAGGTTATCTAGACCTGAATGTTTTTCCGCTGACGAGGTTGCAAATACAATATAAAAATACAAAATGAATATCAAGCATTGCAGCAGATTACAAATAGCTGTTTTGACTCAGAGTAGTTTTAAACGCAATTGAGGTCAGCATGGCACGGACATCTTAAAGCTGGTATTGGCCCGACTTGACAGCAAAACCTAAAATATCCGCTCGATATATGGTACTAGCCAGCATGACACACTGTCCAGCCTAATCTAATCAAAAAAAAACCAACTTTACTATAGACTAAGCCTAGCTGGCCGCCTTTTTTTTTACACCATCCACCATTTTATGGAGGGTATATTAACTTTGTCATTCCGTGTGTATCTCCTAGAAATTCTTATGTCAGACCCATCAAAGACAATGTGAGATAAAAAACACAGCAACAAAGTCAAACGTCATAATTTTTACGTTTTGTTTTTTAAATTTTATTGAATGAAAGCAAAAAATGTCGAAAATGGTCACCTTTGGTACGAATTTTGGCCAATGAAACCGTCACACGCTGCCCGAATATTGCTCTGCGGTATTTTGGTCCATTGCCGGCGAAGCGCTTGCTTGAGTTGATCGACTCTTTGGTATTTTTTAGTGCCAACCTTGCTTTCCAAAATAATCCAGACACAATAGCCCAAGGGATTGGTATCCGGAGATTTTGGTGGCCATTGTGCGCTGAAAATGAAGCGAGGAACCTCATTTTGTAACCATTCTTGGGTTGCGCGTGCTGAGTGCGATGGTGCTGAGTCCTGTTGGAATGTCCAAGGTCTGCGGCCAAAATGTTTGCGTGCCCAAGGCTTTAAAACAACCTCCAGAATATTTTCGCGATAATATTCGGCATTTATTCTGATGCCATGGTCGATTAATACGAGCGGAGAACGACCATCGGCTGTTATGGCGGCCCACACCATTAGCATGGCCGGCGCTTGAGTTCTGGTGGTCAAACGAAGGTGCACATTTTCAGCTGACCTCTTTGGCAAATAAACACGATCATTTTGTTTGTTTACAAACTGCTGGACAAGGAATGCTTTCTCATCGGAGAAAACCAAATCCGGCAGTTCACCACTTTCGGTCCAGCGAAACAACTCTTTAGCTCTTTTGAGACTATTTTCTTACTGTTGCGGTATAAGTTCTTGCACTTTTTAGAATTTCAATGGCTTTACCCCGAGCTCATTTTTCAATATTTGCCGAAAGGAATATTGGGATATGTTCAGCTCACGAGCCATTTTTCGGCCACTACGACTCGGGTCAAGTGATCAAGTCGCTTCTTTACTTTTTGAACCATTTCTCCTGATGTTGCTGCTGTTTTCTTCCGTCCACTTCCTTGACGTCGGGCTACGCTACCAGTATCATGGTAGCGATCTATAGTACGAGACACAAAAGATTTATTCACATTTAAATGCTGGAGTGCTCTAACGATAGGCACTTGTGGTTTTCCAACCAAATATAAAGAAATCACGCTATCACGCTTGAATTTTATCACGAATAACTTTTTTTTCTGGAAAATTCTCACCAAAATTCTTTTGTACGCTCACTCTGTATAATATGACTTCGAGAAGGATTATATTAAACTAGTAAATAAAGCAGCTAAGTTCAGCTAGACCGAACTTTTAATATCATTCACCATTCGGAAGGAACCTAAACAAATTGAAAAAAAAAATCCGTGGAAAAATACCGCTTAAATGGAAAGCTTTACATTGGAGCAATATGAAGACGTGAACCTACATAATTTTCTGCAATGTGCTGCAGTACGATTCCGAAATTCAAATGTAAAATTAAAAACTATTCTGCTATATAATGTCACTAAAATACCGAATACAGGGAGATACCGTTATATGGTGACTATACGAAGAGGTGGACCTACATAGACAATTCTCTTTCAGGGGGTAAGGTACTTACAATGAACTGCTTGTATGGATTTTCAGACAATTCCATTGGAAAATGTGGCTAAAATCATTAAAATACCGAATATCGGGGGGTACCGTTATATGGGGGTTATACGATATCGTGGACCGATATAGCCCATCTTCAAACTTGACCTGCCTGCAGACAAAAGACAGACCTGTGCAAAATTTTAGCCTCCTATCTTAATTCGTTTTGACTGTAGCGTGATTACAACAGACGGAGAGAATTTTAGAATTTTACGCTTACCAAGAATATATATACTTTGTTAGGTCTAAAATTATTATTATTTCGATGAGTTACAAACGGAATGACGAACTTAATATACCCTCTATACTAAGCATGGCGGAGGATATACAAATTCCTCCTTGATTTCATTTTACCATGCTTAAAAGTATGTTTTAAAGGAAGCCAATTAAAAATGTGAAAAAGCCGTTTTACATATGACTCTAACACGACGTGTATACTAGCCTTATATGTAAGGAGTTCAATGTGTTTGTATGTTTTATGTATGTAAGTATTTGGCCAGTATTAAAAATTATTTAGAAAATAATTTTGTTTTAAACGAACTTAATTGTGAAGAAGAAAGTTTTTGGATCAATATCATTTAGTAAATAAAGCCTAAGTCTAAAGGATCATAGATTTTCGTCTGGATCTTGTAAGCTTTGAAAGTACTTCTTGGAGGTATTAAAAAGAGGTCCCTTCTTGCTGTATATTTTTTAATAAAACCCTCGCTGGTATTAACCGAATAAAAAAGTGTATTATTAATATCATTATTTTTGCAATTTTTATTATTTCATAATTATAATTAACATTTTAAGAATATTACTCAATTTGTATTTATGTCGAAATAACATTTTAATCTATTAACACATTTAAACTGTTGAAATAACATACTAACCTCCATAAAACTTTTGTTAAATATTTTGCACCTTCTTCTAATTGTGATAAACAGTCATTCACATTTTTCACCCCTCGCCTACACAATCACATTATAAGTCCATACTAATACTTCGTAGTTGTGGGTGTGTGTTAACACTTTTCTTGCATTAACAACTAATTCTTTCAAGGTATTGGCTTTGGGCAGGCATTCATGGTTTACTTATTAGCCACATATTATGAATCGGTATGTGCCATAATTGGTTATTATTTGGTGGAATCATTTCGTGATCCCCTACCCTGGGCCCATTGTCGGCCAGAGTGGGGTGCAAATTGCATTGATTCTGCGCCACCAAAAGAGGAACAAGAAAATAATACAGCTTCTGCGGGAAGAATTGATGGTGAAGCGAATCGTACAATAACAAGTTCGGAATTATTTTTTGTGTAAGCTAACTTAAGAGTTCTTATTAGCACATCCCTTTTTAATGGCTTAGATAACATATTTTATTTAATTTATTTTTTATCACTTATCTTAGCAATGAAGTTCTGCGTGAAAAGGACAACATAAATGATGGCATTGGCCTACCCAATTGGGAGCTGGTAATTGGTTTATTCATATCCTGGCTTTGTGTGTTCCTTATTATCATCAAAGGTGTAAAGAGTTCCGGCAAAGCTTCCTACTTTTTGGCTATATTCCCTTATATCATTATGGCAGTTCTGTTGATTAGGGCCTTGACATTGCCCGGCTCCGTGGATGGTATTATTTACTTCATAAAACCCGACTGGAGTAAAATCCTGGATCCTAAGGTAAGAAAGAAAAAAATTGATTGTTTAAGTAATTTAATAACACAAAATCGTATCAGCATAGTTAGTCCTGATTTATACTAGGCGAGTTTACTGGTAACAATTTTTAGAGGACTCTTTTGAACTTGCCTCTTGCATTTATACAAGATAATTATTTTACTGCCTTTCATTCATTATACCCTCACCTATATGGCTAGAGAGGGTTTATATCATTTGATACAGCCAAAACGTGCTTCATCGAAATAAAGGTTGCGGACCCTAGGTTTCTTGGACCAACTCCGTTTCAGGACATTTGGAGTCGATCTAACGGTGTCCGTGCGTCTGTAAATTTCACACATCCCAATATTTTTATTAACCCAAGGTCTTGTAACACGATGGAATACATCGGTCCTCTCCTTCTGGTACCTCCCCCACAAAAGGTGGAAATTTTCAAAAAAAAAAAATATTTTCTACGCAGAAAAAGAAACGATAACAAGATTTTGCTCCAACTTTGCAAATCCTAATATTTGCGTCAGTTCTAGGTCAGGTGCAAAAATGGATAATATATGGAGTGGACACATATCGGTCCATTCCTTCTGGTACCTCTCCCACAAAGGGTCAAAATTTTGAATAACCAAAACGGCCATAGAATCTGAAATAAGTATCCGGTTCTCTTAAAATTTCGCATATCCCATTATTTCTGCTAATACAAAATCTGCTGTGAAGATTCGATATATCGGTCCATTCCTTCTGGTACCTCTCCCACAAAGGGTCAAAATTTTGATTAACCAAAACGGACATAGAATCTGAAATAAGTATCCGGTTCTCTTAAAATTTCGCATATCCCATTGTTTCTGCTAATACAAAATTTCTGCTGTGAAGATGCGGTATATCGGTCCATTCCTTCTGGTACCTCTCCCACAAAGGGTCAAAATTTTGAATAACCAAAACGGGCATAGAATCTGAAATAAGTATCCGGTTCTCTTAAAATTTCGCATATCCCATTATTTCTGCTAATACAAAATCTGCTGTGAAGATGCGATATATCGGTCCATTCCTTCTGGTACCTCTCCCACAAAGGGTCAAAATTTTGAATAACCAAAACGGGCATAGAATCTGAAATAAGTATCCGGTTCTCTTAAAATTTCGCATATCCCATTATTTCTGCTAATACAAAATCTGCTGTGAAGATGGGATATATCGGTGCACAGCTTCTGGTACCTCCACCACAACGGGTCAAATTTTTGAATAACCAAAACTATCATAAAATCCGAAATAAGCATCAGGTTCTCTTCAAATTACACACGTCACAATATTTCTATTAACCCAAGGTCTGGTGTGAAAATGGGATATATCGGTCCACTCCTTCTGGTACCTCCCCCCAAAGGATCGAAATTTTGAATATCCATGAAGCTCATAAAATGTAACAGTAACATCCGATTCTACTCAAAATTGGCAGATCTCAATGTTTCCATCAACACAAGATCTAAAAAAAATGGATCGGACCATTTCTTCTGATACCTCCCCACATAGGGTTCATGTTTTTTGAAAAACCAAAAGTTCCTCCCCACAAAGGGTCAAAGTTTCGAAAAACCCAAAATGAGTATCCAACTCTCTTCAAATTTCACACATTCACATATTTTTGCATTTTTATTCCCCTTACCCTGCTCTCCTACAAACAGAGAATTTCCGCCAGAAAACTAGCCTAATATAAAATCGGACTTACTATGTTTTGGGGCATACGAATGAGTAAAATATTTAATTTTGTCTCTTTTTGGTTAGAGTTTCAATCCTTGGATTCTCCCAATGACTTGAATATCGACAAATTCATTACAATTTTTTTCTTCTTTCAGGTCTGGTATGCTGCAGTGACCCAGTGTTTCTACTCGCTCTCAGTGTGCTTCGGCAATATTATCATGTATTCTTCGTATAACAAATTTGGACACAATGTACATCGTGATGCTACAATTGTGACGGGATTGGATACCTGTACCTCGCTGCTGGCTGGTTTTACAATATTCGGTATTTTGGGTCATTTGGCACATGAAATTGGAACGGATGATATTGGTAGTGTGGTCAAAGGTGGTGCTGGTCTGGCTTTCATTTCATATCCTGATGCCATAGCCAAATTCCAAAGTTTGCCGCAAATATTTTCGGTACTGTTCTTTTTGATGTTGTTTGTCCTGGGTATTGGTTCGAACATTGCCATGACATCGTGTACCGTTACGGCCATAAGAGATAATTTCCCTAAAGTGAAACAATGGCAGTGTGCCTTGGGCATAGCTATTTTTAGTTTTTGCATCGGATTGGCCTATGTTACACCGGTAAGGGGAAGGTGATACTTTTTTCAAGTCTATTTTGTTGAATTTTGCCCTTGTTTCTTTTTCAGGGTGGCCAATTCATTTTGACTTTGGTGGATTACTTTGGAGCTTCCATGATTGCCTTGGTTTTGGGTATTGCAGAATTGTATGTCTTGGGCTGGGTTTATGGTGTAGATCGTTTGTGCCGTGATGCTGAGTTCATGATGGGTCGCAAGGTTGGCCCCTATTGGCGTTGGTGTTGGGCTGTTGTCACGCCTCTGATTATGACAGCTATTTTGGTATATTTCCTCTCCACCTATACACCATTAACCTACAACAAAGTAACATATCCCAATTGGGCCTATGGTAAGAATGAGATGATATTATTTTTAAAATTAATATAAATTTTAAATATTTAACTTTTTAGCCATTGGCTGGACCATCACCTGTTTTGGTGTCCTTCAACTACCCATCTGGGTTGTGGTTGGTGCCATCCGTGCACCCGGCTCATCATGGTCGGAAAAACTGAGAAATGCCTTCAAGCCCAAGCACGACTGGGGTCCCAGAGATCCTCTGTTACGCGAACAATACAACAAAGAAATTGCCAACGAAGCCATTGCCAATGAAAATCTGGGCTGTTGGGGTTTCATTAAGAAAAATATTCTTGGTTGAGCCAAGATCTGCAAATAGTATTAGATACCACATAGTTTTAATTTTGATTTATATAAATTTTAAGTTTATTGTTTTGTAAAAAGAAATTATTAACGTAGATACACGCTCACACACCGATAATGAAGACAAAATAAACAACTTGCCAAATGTACTTAAAATAAAGTTAAACAAAGTGATTTTATGTAAATTAATTTATGTATAAAAAATATATATGTAAAGGAGTTTAAGAATATGTGTATTTTATAAAAAAATTAAAATGGTAAATAAATGATTTTGTATTATAACTGTAACTGAAAATGTAGCTGGATAAGAGGTCATAGTTACTCACGTGAGAGGCATTGAAATAAATGAAACAACTCATTAATGTAGAAGCTGCAATGGATATTTTTAATAATTCAATTCAAATTTCAATAAATTCCGATCGTTTTTGATTGCCATTGATGTCAATTCTGCAGCGACCCTAAATAATGGAAACTACCAGAAGTCTTTATCTTGAAATTATTAGTAAAATTACTTTTGAAACCATTCAGCCACATTCCCTGGCAAATATCCTCGAAATAACATAAATAAGGAGATTCTTTTACGAATCTTTTATCTACACTGGGAATTTATTCAAAAATATTAATAAATCCTGAGAAAGACAGATATGGAATTCCAAAAATTACCAATTAAACGAAACCCGTTATATGGAGACTATACGAAGATGGGCCTGCTTACGTCATTTGTCATAAGCTGTAGTACCCATTACGATACGAAATTTGAAACAGTTCCATGTCGCTAAAATCATGAAAATACCGAATATCGGGTGGTATCGTTATATGGGGGCTATACGAATATGAACAAGTAAGTTTTACTTTATTTATTAATTCTTTCCATCGGTGACCTATAGTGAAATTTTATGATAAATATTTTTGTCTTTGACGTCATCCGCCTGAAATAATGTTTTGTATGAGTTTTTGCATAAATGCTCATGAAGGCACTAATCCTAACATATGTTGTTAATATTTATAAATTCTTAGCATTTGGGTAAGGTTAAGAGTTTTGATATTTTCTAAGTAGAACTTTTCGACAAATAATTTCCAAAAACATTTAGATTTGTTACGACCCCGTTTAAGAGAGTTTTTAACAATTTTCTGAAGAGTCCAAAAAGACCTCTTCGTTGACTCGCTTGAGGGTTAACTAAAATAATCCTCCCATTTTTTATCAGTAATGTTGCCATAAAACACTATATACCCACGATAATAGGATTCCGAAAAATCCTAAATTTAAAAGCTCAAAAAATTGAAATAGGTGAACATTTTTGGTCCTATATTTAGATTTCTTTGCGATTTACACTTTTAAAACGCCGATTTCTGTTTTTCTGTAATTTTTTTAAATTGTTTTTTGTTGCACAGTGTTTCCTTAAGTATTTTTACACATATATAATTGTACATGAGTGAGTAATTTAATACGTTATATATTTTTTTAAAAAAGGTATTTTAATGTAAATCAATATCGAAAATATCCATATAAAAACTTGTGTAATGTTTTCTTAATAAATTCTTTTTTAAGGACGCTACTGTTTTACATATTTTCCGGCAGCTTCATCTAAAATGCAAATGAGATCACCATTAGTTGGTTGTACCAGTCCTGCTGGTAATGGTTCCTTGTCCACAAAAACTTTCTGAAATATAAAAAATAATTTAAATATCATAAGCATTAAATATATTCCCTTTCACCCACCTTCACCATATCGGCCTTCCCCTCGCCACACATAGCAAAGAGACAACATGATGCATTATTGATAAGTGGTAATGTCATAGTTACACGTTTTGGTGGTGGCTTCGGAGAATCTTCTATAGCAGCTATCAACTTGTGGTTTTCCTCGAGCAATTTATGACCTGGAAACAGTGAACAGGTATGACCATCTGGACCCATACCCAAAAGTAATAAATCAAAACGTGGCACCACCGCTTGTTCCATATCAAATTCTTTTAGAATTTTCTTCTCATAATCGTGGGCACATTCCTCCACTGTACCGCTCAGATCGATCCATATAAATTGTTCTTCTTTGAGAGATGTTTTGGGTATCAATGCGGTTTTGTAAACACCATATGTGGAGTCGCTATCATTTTCGGCAACAAAACGTTCATCACAGAAAAATAATTGCCATTTACTCAGATCTACTTTCATCGATTGTATGGCAGTGCTTAAATAGTTGACCAATGAACCACCTGGAATGGGAAAGAGGAGTATTAATGTGAAATGAATTAAAAAGAACTATAAAAAATTGTATAATAAACTTGATGCTTGGTTTTCCGATCTAATATGATATACAACAATCTTATGGTCTGTTTACAAAAGCAACAAAAATGATAGTAAAAGCAACTTTAAATATGGGCATGTTCTCTAAAGCGTAATAAATACGGAGGGAAAATACATGGTTGAAAGTAGAGTTTATTTGCTGGACGTTCTGATTTTTTTTACTACATAAAATTGATTGCAAAATAATATAAATTGTGGTCGGAAAGTACATACAGAAAATGTAGGGACCTTTCACAGGTCATTTTTAAAAATTTTCATCAGGTACCCCTCGGGGTTCTTAGTACATAAATATATTTTTATACCCTCCGCCTTGGAGGGTATATTAATTTTGTCATTTCGTTTGTGACATCCCTGAATATTCGTCGTAGACCCCATGAAGTATATATATTCATAATCAACATAAAATTCTGTCTGTCCGTTCGTCTGTCTGTTGAAATCACGATTCAGCCCACGTTATTTGACGTAGAGGGTCAAAATTTAGCAGAACAATTTGTATTATTCCTAGGATGATTGGTATTGAATATATATCGGTCCACCTTTTAATATAGTCCCCATATAACGGTATATCGCGATATTTGGTATTTTGATGATTTTTCACATATTATTCCACGGAGTTGTCTAAAAATTGGTATTCGTAGGTCATAATGAATTCTTGCTGGTTTCTTTAATGGTTTTCTTAATGAAGTCTATATTTGTTGAGCTATGGCCCTTAAAAATACCGTAAGGGCCTGGTACATTTTCATTGTTTGTAAGACCAATCAAGGCAATGCAGGTGTGAATATAGGTACATATGGACAGACTGATACGCGAATAAACCTCCTTTTAGAAAGCAAAGTTTAAGTGGTTAGCCGACCTTCAACTTGGAAGTAAAATCGTTCACCAATTGACAGTAAAGTTTTAGTTATCCGGGCTTTGTAATCAGGAGCGGCAGAGTTTCAAATTGATACCTATATATCTTGGATTCTCCTACGATCACAGGAAAGCCACCAGGCACTAACGGAATATTAGAGGTTCATAACTCGGGAAGTATGTCTTTGTACTCAGGAACAAAATGAAAAATTATTTAAATTTGCAAACATTGTTGAAAAACGCTAATTACAATAATCTCCGCATGACCGCGTAAAAGAAAGAACATGAAAAATATACTAATATGTGATAGAACATTTCAAATTTTTTGACATATCAATGATCTAAAGCGTTGATGCATCTACCTGTATTCTTCTACCATGGTAGCCCCATAAAGTAACCTCCTGATTTCGGATATATTGAGGGTTTCGGCCCAAATCTCCAACCAAATCAGCTGTTATTTGACATTTTGATTTCTCAATGGGTAGTTAAACTTCTCCCTATTTAATTCAAGGGAACTTCCAGATTTAAGGGACATTGGGGATAGCTTGATTTGCGAGTTACGTCTTAGACTAACGTAACGTAGATTTTACTTTTCGTCCACTGAACACATTTTTCCTACCACATTAATCGGCTACACGAATAAGAAGGTTTAGAGCTTTCGGAACCTTAATCTACGCAGGTATGGACACACCGGGTATTAGAAAGTTTTGTGTGTAAACATTTCAAAACGATATGCATTTACCTATTTAACTAGACCCAACATGAAAATGGTAAACAATATGGAACTCCAATTTTGGGATCCTTAGCCATATATTTATTACATTACCATCACCCCTTGTATTGGTTACATTTACAAAGGTCACTAAACTGCAGTAAAGTAAGATTCGAAAAACATCATACGATCGATCATTGTCAAGGTCAATGGTTGCACTTACCGGACAGTCCCACTCTAAATACTCCTCTGGTTTTAACAGCCTCTTCGGCTCTGTCTTCAATTTCCTTCTTCAGTCTCTCAATGACAGCCGCTTCATTTTTAACAACAATTAAATTCATATTTTTAAATGGGAAAATTTGGAAATTAGTTTTGGAATGAATGATTTGTTGATTTGTGAGAGATTTGCGAAGCAACAGATTTTCGCTCGAAGAACAGTAGGTCTCTCCAGATCGAAATTAACGAAGAGAGAGATTTGATTTTATTTCCTTCTCCTTTCCACTCGAAAAGTTGCTGTAGTGAATGGCTGGCCAAGAAGGAATTCTCCGTCGGAAACCAAAATTAAAGACGTCCCCCGACAATGAAATTGCATTTTTTTGTTCACAACTCCTTCACCTAGCTGTTGCACTTTGTTTACCCACCTAATTGAAAGCGATGACATTTGCAAACAAAATATGGAATAGCAACGTTCCACAATTTCACAAAACTGTTTTAACCCTGTCTCAGAACCTTACGACAATTTAAGACAATGTTAAAACAAAAAGTTGGCAATACTAGTAGTTTGAAAAATCATAATAGATGGCGGTGGTGACAAGTTTCACAATGTTCTTTGCAGATGACGCTTAAGCACATGTATTAAACCTAAAATGTTTTTGGTCAATGAAATAAAGGTAGAACAAAGCTACAAATCGATTTTAATTTGGAGGGTATATTACATGGCAGAAGAATACAGGTAGATGCATCAACTCTTAGGAGCATTGATATGTTAAAACAATTTTAATGTTTTTTTCAAATATAAGTAGATTTTTATATGTTTTCTTATACTACGTCATTCGGAGGCTATTATAATTCGCGTTTTTCAACAATTTTTACAAATTTAAATAGATTTTCATTCAACATTTTCAATTCCAAAATTGGTTTGACAGTTCATTGTCCCAGCAGCTGTGTCGACGCGTCTACCTATATTCTTCTACCATGGTATATTATGTTCGACATTCTGTGTGTAACTCATGGAAATAATTTTAGCCCTAACAAATCGACGTGGAATTCTAAGAGGATTTAGCCCTGTCCGTCCGTTCGTCTGTTGTAATCACGCTAGATTCAAAACGAATTAAAATAGGAAGCTAAAATTTTGCACAGATCTGTCTTTTGTCTGCAGTCAGTCAGTTCGAAGATGGGCTATATCGGTCCACGATATCATATAGTCCCCATATAACGGTACCCCCGATATTTGGTATTTTAATGATTTTAGCGATATTATTCACCGGATTTGTTACAAATTCCGTATTTGAAGTTAGGAACTGTTACTTCAGTCTGTGACACAAATTACTTAGGCAGGACTACGTCTTTGTATCATTTGAGCGGTATTTTTCGACGGATTGTTGTATACCCTCCACCATACTATGGAGGGTATATTAACTTTGTCATCCCGTTTGTAACTCCTCGAAATAATCATGTCAGACCCAACAAGGTATATATATTCTTGATCATGTCCGCCTGTCCGTATATCTGTCTGTCCGTCTGTCTGCCTGTCGGTTGTAATCACGCTATCTTTCGAACGAATTTAGATAGAAGGCTAAAATTTTGCACACGTGTTTATTATTCCAGTGGGCAGGTTAAGTTCGTAAATGGGCCATGTAGGTCCACGTTTTCATATAGCCCCCATATAACAGTACCTCCAGATATTCGGTATTTTTATGATTTTAGTGACATTATTCACCGGAATTCTTTCCAATTTGGGATTTGAAGTTCGTAGTGGATACTACAGCCTATGACAGAAAATTATCTGTGCAGGTCCACGTCTTCGTATAGCCCCCATATAACGGTACCTCCCAAAATTCGGTATTTTGATGATTTTAGCGTCGTAATGGGAACTACAGTCTGTGACAGAAAATTGTCTATGCAGGTCTACGTCTTCGTATAGGCCCCATATATCAGTACCTCCCTATATTGGGTATTTTGACGAGTTTAGGTACAAGATGTCGTATTTGACGTTCGTAAAATTGTCTATGCTGGTCCAGGTCTTCGCACAGCTCCGATATAACGGTACCTCCCTATATACGATTTTTTGATGATTTTAGCTACATTATTCACCGTTTATTTCAAGTTTCGAATTTGAATATGGTAATGGCTTATGAAGAACAATGCCTATGTAGGTCCACGTCGTATAGACTCCAATATAACGGCTATATTCGGTATTTTTAAAATTTTAACAGAATTTTTTAAGGATTTTATTTTTGAAAATTTCCAAATGGTGGAGGTTATTCAAAGTTCGGCCGGGCCGAACTTACTGCTTTTTAACTTGTTTATTTTCTTGGCTAAACATGCAAAATCTGGGGATATATGTGTGTGCATTCTTTTCAGTTATATGAATACTATTTCGAAAATATTTCAATTCAGTTGGAATCAAAATGCTTATAACAATGTATCTAGGGAAAACATTTATAGTTTTTGTTCGAAATAAATATTTTTGCATGTTTTTGGAAAAATCTAATTTAAACTTTCATTCAGTTTTGTCGTTTTTTTATTATTTATTCAAAATCAATGGAAAAATTTGTTTTTTTTTTTAATGCAATTCAGCTTGTTGCATTTGTTTTAATAGTAATTCTGGCATTACAATCCGTTACATGCAAACTTATCTAACCTTGCCCACCTTGCCATAATAGTCTTATCTTCTTCCTAACTTGAACTATGTTTTGCGTAAAAACCCAAAATACCATTTATGATTTGTGATCATTTCAAGCTTAGAATTTTTTGAAAACAAAAAATGGAAAATAATGACAACATATTTTTGCAGACTTTGCATTTTTGCCATTTCCATCGAAACTCAACTACCTTTCTGGTAGTGCCATGGTTTTAATGATTTCTTTTATGATTGGTATTGAAAATGGGCATGACCAGTCCAATCTCCATTTTGAAGATTTCGTTCACAATTTTCAATCAAATAACATGGATTTCCAAATGTTATTTGATAAGCTCGTGCCTCATCGACATAACGGTTTTGGACCAAATAAGTTTCAGGACATTTGAAGTCGATCTAGGTGTACGTCCATCTGTCCGTCTGATTGGTGTGCACGATAACTCTTGAAAGGGGTACCTTATTTGGTCCATGGTTCATTAAACTTAGGTCGAGTTTGGAGGTTGGAAAAGTTTGAGCAAATTGTCAAAATTTTCACAGAAAATAATTAATCTTATGGAACAAGAAAGGATCATCTAATTCTGTGCATGGTTTGCAAATCCTAATATTTTTGTAGGGTATGTCAGGTGGGAAAGTCGAAAATAGGTCCAGCCCATCAAATAACTATCCCACAAAGGGTTTTAAATTTGAAATAATCATAACTCTTATAAATTGGGAATAAGAGTCCGAGTCTTCAACTTTTGCAAATCTCAATATAACTACTAATGCAAGATATGGTATGAAGAACGAATTAAACGAACCGCTCCTTCTGGTACATCTCCCACAACGGATCAAATGTTGTTGAAGCTTATAAAACTCGAAATGACCATCTGCCTACTTTCAATTATTTCTATCAACACAAAATCAGGTGTGAACATGAAATGTATCGGACTATTGCTTCTTGTGGTACATCCCCCATAACGGGTTATGAAATGCGAATTAATCATCCGATTCTTTCTAAACTTCACACATTCCAATATTTTTTCAAACACAAGACCAGGTGTTTTCTGGTACTTCCCCCACAAAAGGTCACAATTTTTAATATTATATCTCTCATAACCTCTGAAGCTCTGACGTGATTCCTTTCAAACATCATATATAATTATATGATTACTCGCATAAAATGGGAAATAATAGTTCGATTTTCTTTAAATTTTACACAAAAAAATATTTTTTTCAGTGCTTCGGTCCGCTATATGTGGTACCTCACGCATATTTCGACGTTTTACGAAAATTATCGTATATCTCATAAAATGCGAAGGAAGTAGTAGGTATAGTCCAAATCGGGCACCAATAGTGATCCATTCCTTTGGAACCCCCCATTACGAGTCAATAGTTTGAATAAACATAGCTCAAGTAAAAATATTTTTAAATAAAATATACTTGTTTACTTGTTTACTTGTTTAAGTTTGATATTCAACTCTTCAAAAGATCCATTTTATGGTACATATATTTCAATATAGTACTGTCTAGTAAAAAATTCAAACCTATTTAAGACAATAGTAAAATCCAACCAGATATTAGCAGTTTTCCAACAAATATATGCGTACTTTAAAATTGTCGAGAAAACTGAAATACAATTGTAATTTTATACTTCATGATTAGCTATTTTGGATTTTAGTAAAACTTTTTCAGTATTTTTGGATATTTAAATATACAAATTATTGCCCAATTACATATCATGTAAGAATCATATGTAAAGTCACTTTTTATAAATTTATCTCTAGTATTTTTGTAGCATACTTTCAGGGATTTTTTTTAATACATTTATTGTACATTTATATTTAAATATTGTATACGTATAGAAAAAATATAAATTACATTTGGCCAAAATTGTATTAAGCGAATGGACCATTTGAGGCGAAGATTTCAGGCACTTATTTGAATATTATGTGTTGTTGTTTTTTTTTTTTTGAAAAACGTTCCTATATCCCCTTTACAAGCAATCAGCTAATTTGAGAAAACAGAGCAATTTCCCACCATTGAAAGAGATAAAGGGCGTTAAAATTGTACACTTTATTAAAAATTAGAAAAGAGAATGAGCCAACAAGGAAGACAATTTCTAATAGTTGTGATCTTTTGATTAGGCTCTAAGCCACGAGGAAGTTAGGATCTTTGCTTAATGGCACAAAAATAAAATATAAAGTCACTTCACATATGACTCTAACATCATGTGCAATCTGGGCTTTACATCAATTGAGACCAACTTCTGGGGAAAGAATCACAATTTCTTACCTCCAGCTACTGAACAGGGCATTGTGGTTAAATTTATCACATTTATTTAAAAAAAGTTATGTTAAAAGCGCCGGTTATTTTGAATTGCAAATGCGAATACAGTTAAAATGCATGTTTCCAATTCAATTCTTCTGCAATCATCAAATTTTTTGTTTACCTGGCCATTGTTTTTGTAACCAGAACTTGTAGTTTAGAATAGCCATTTTAACATTTACATTTGATATATTAGAGTGGGTCTTAAAATACGGAAGAAGTTAATGCATATGTGTGCACGCATGAAAGTTGACTTGTGATTGACTTTAATATTGATCACAAATAATAGCTAAAAACGCCGAAATGTTAATATTTAAGGAGTTATGGCCACTTTAAAGTATTCAATAATTCATGCCTTTAAAAGTGATCACCAATTATATCTAA